CGGCCACGCGCAGGGCATCCGGCAGCACTGCAGGGAGAAGCGGAGCCATCAGCACACCGCCGCCCGCCACTGGGCACGTGCCTGCCCCGCCCCCTCCACCCGGGCCTCCAGGACAATTTCCTCCTCCCCTCTCCTGTTCTAATGCCCAGATGGGCCGTTTTGCTTCACCTATGACCTCAACTGACTTTCTGACTTGAAATTTTAAAAAGAGGCACTTATTAAGAAGACCCCCTGCTAGAACTGGGTGGTATAAAGTCCCTCTGGGGAACTCTGCCTTGGGCGACACACCTCTGCTGCCCTCAGGCACGTCACTTTACTCCTCTGTGCTTCAGCTTCCTCTTCTCTAAAAAGGGATGGCAACTGGACCTACCTCAGGGAGCCGACTGACAGGTCTACCAGTTACAAGGGAAGGTGCCTGGGACAGTGCTTGGCACTCAGCAATCACCATCAAATAACGGGCCATGACTGTCAAACACTCCTTTCCTAGGTCACAGGCTGGAGTAGGGAGCCCGGGGAATCTTCGAGGAGTTAAAGCAGCACGATCTGCAGGCCACAAAAGCACAGGAGAGCTGGCTGTGTGCCTTGAGGACTGGGGAATGCCCGAGAATGACTAGGGTGAGCAGAGGGTCTCTGCAGGTTAGGAACCCGACAAGGAGAGCCGAAGCCTCGGCTATTTACTCCATTAGAGCCCACAGGGAAAAGGCTGGGCTCCTCTAGAGCCTAGAAAAAGGGGCCCAGAGATCAGAGAAGCGTTGGCGAGTGCTACTGAGGAAGGGAAGCCATACATGATGTAACCAGTGAGGAAGGCTCTACCAAGGGCAGGGACAGTCTCCCAGGCTCGCCTGTGGTCTGGATGGGAGAATCCCCCAACACCACCGGTCATCACCTCCTTGGTTATTCCTGCCATTCCATGCTCGGAAGTGAATCCAGTGCCCTTGAGAAGGGATTATTCTAGAAAAAACTGCTACATCTTTAGAAGGACACATCCCAATGACCCATCTCACCTGCAAATGAATATGATGACCTTTGAGTATATACATCAGTTTGTGAGTCCAGCTAATGTGACTCGGTTCCCAAGACCCAGTTATCTGCCAGGGCATGGATAAGCTGAAGGCCGGAGAGACCCCAGACCATGCATGACGGCCACCAGAGACTCCACCTGGGCCAGTCTCTTTTGTGGCCATCCGTTTGTTTCCCTAACCGAAGGAAAGCCTCTCCTTGCTCCTGCCTTCCAAAGACTGGAGAAGAAACAGAAAGATACTTGGGGGGTGGGGGGAGGTTTCCTCCTTCTGCCTGCAACTCCTCAAGATGAGAGGAGGGAGACACAGGGAGACAAGGGTGCAACTGACCTAACGGAGGTGCAGCATGTGTGTGATGACTACAGACACAATAGGTTATTTAACTCCCATGCAAGAATGTCTTCTGGGACTTTTTCTAAAAAACATATTTGGATTTTCTATAGGAATGAGAAGAGAGAACAGAAGAGGTAGGTTTAACGTTTTAATACCTGCATAATGGACATGGTGTTTTATCCCCTCGTTAAATCTAATGAGGGAATAGTTTCCGAGACACGGTAGGGGTCTACAAATCATTACAGAGGGAATGCGTGCCTGAATCAACACCCCTTTTTATATCATCATATACATCTTTTTCTTTCTCAATCATTAAATGCACTACTACTCTGACTTAATTCTTTTTGGAACAAGGCAGGATACAAATAAATGCATAATTAAGTAATAATGTTTCTATTCTGCTAGCCCCAAATTAAGATTGTTTGTTCTTGCTCATTTACTAATTAGCTGTGTGATTTTAGGCAAGTCATTAACCTATGCTTTTCCATTTCCTCATGTGTAAATTAGGGAAATATCCTGTCCTGTCTCCTTTGGCTTCAGAGAATTGAATGTGTGAGTAAATCAGATAGGATTTGAAAAATGCAAAAAAAAAACCAACCAACCAATCAACCTGAAACATTCCAGCCATATAAGATGTGATTACTTGCACAGCCAGGCCAATGAGCTTGCGGTGACCGTATCTGTCTTTATCTATGACCCATACAACTTCTAGAACAAGCAGGTACTTAAATCATGAAGGGCACAAAGACAGACATGAGCTTTGAAGCATCTGTTATTCCCATAAAACTGTGCAGTGTCATCATGACCAACACCTTCTTGTCCCTAACCTTATAAAGTCCTCACTGTGGCACTGCCCTGAGGCTTCACAGGTGCTGACTTGCCATGTCCTTGTGACCTTTACGGGAGGCACCGTTTCCCAGAGAAGGAAGGTGAGGCAGGTGACATACCCTCGGCCACAGAGCTGACAGAGCAATGGGACTGAGTGCAGGTAACCTGGCTCAGAGCTGAACTCTCCACCACACACCAGGCTGCCTCCAAGTCACCAGCCACAGGGTGGTTCAGAATAATAATGAAGTGAAGAGAAAGGGTCCTCAGAGGCCACCTGGCCCATCCTCTGCCTTTAATCTGGTAAGATACTATTTCTCCATTGGACAGAGGAGGTAAGTTTCCTGACATGGTCACCCACAGCCAAGTGACAGAGGAAAGTCTGGTCCCGGGGCACAGCAACCCCCGTGAGGATGTACCTTTAACCTGCACTGTATCCTCATAGTTGCCCTGGACGGTGGCGTCCGTGCTGGGAGTGGAACACTTGTAGTGGCCTTGGTCGGAGGGCTGGACGTTCTTTATGTGCAGCTCCACGGCGTCGTTGGCTGTCCGCCGCAGCAGGATGTCGCCCCTCTGCAGGCGCTCACGGTACTGCTGGGCGGGGAAGCCCACCTCCCAGGTGCTGGCGAGCTCCACGAAGCTGCTCCCCAAGGCCGAGAAGCTCCAGTCGAAGTTTTGCTCGCTGGGGCCGTCGTAGTCGCTGACGTTGCAGGGGATGACCAGCTCGGTGCCCACCACCCGCACCAGGCTCCCTGCGGGGACTCTCACCACGCGCCCTCGACAAAGAGCTGCAAAGACAAGAGGCGAAAGGTCGGTCTTGAATTGTGGAAAGTCTTTCCAGTACAAATGCGGCAAAACTGTGGGCACTCCTGCTCCCAGGTACGTGGCGGAAATTGACCTGCCCGCCTGGGAAAATATGACATCAACTGGCGATGAAAGGCAGAGGACGGGCTAGGTGACATGGACTTAGCCACCACTAAGACCCCAAGCCAGCAATAGCTCTGGCAGTGAGTACCTCTCATGCAACAGTCTCCTAGGACCGACAGGGAGGAAGAGAAGTACTGAAAGTAGGCTAACCATAAACTTGAATAGCTTTCTCCCTCCTGTTACTATTTAACCTACTGCGATCACTCAACTGGGATGTAGAAATATTTTAGGTTTTGTGTGAAAGAAAAGGACACAGCTAATCAAGTATTTACATTTCTGCCCACCCTGTATCAACCCTCATCCCTAGAGACCAATCCCTGGGGCTCCTGAGACCTGATTTACAATGACGGATGCCAATTTTTAAATCCTAGAGCAGCCTGCTGATAAAATGATTTAACTCTGGTTATCTGACATTGCCTATAAATTAATTTTAAAATATGATGACTCTACCAAGTATTAATTTTCTATTTTCTGGCTCATTTCCTTCTCTCTACTACTCACCCTGATCTAAATTCAGAATGAGGATAGGGACGCACAAAGGGAGAGAGGGCCTCGTCTGGTGGGTTGCTGGGCGTTCCTAGGAATGCAGCGGTTTACGCTTATGGGGGATGAGCCTAGGGGACAATCCAAGAGTTCACTGGCATTCCCTGCCCGGAGAACACAGGCCTCTGCGAGGGCCTGCCATCTGTGTGTCCTTTGAGGTGGCTTCTTTGCAATGAGCTTCAGCATGATTTTATAGTGCATTTACTACCTGTGTTAGCATTTTAATTCAGACACCTGCCTGGCTCTTGCCTGAGGTTCTATGAATAGGTACAGCATTGAGATATATAGCAGAAAGTCTGGGCTCTGAAATCAAGGAGACCTTAGTTTAAATTGGAAAGGCCTCTCTTAGCTTTGGCTTCCTCAACTATAAAATGGGGCAAGAAGAATTCACTGAGTTAATGAAATAAAATTCCCAGCTGAAAATCTGTCATGTAGTAAGACCTCAATAAAATGGAATTTCTATTATTTATTTCCAACTTTGTGTTTTTGTCATTTGTGATGAGTTGAATTGTGTCTCCCTACCACTCTCCCCCTCCAAACCATTCATATGTTTAAGTCCTAGCCCCCAGTGCCTTAGAATGAGAACTTATTAGGCAGTAGGGCTGCTGTGGATGTAAAGAGCTAAATCATGACGAGGTCAAAGGGTGGGCACCTACTCCAATGACTGGTATCCTTAAATGGGGGGAAATCTGGACATAGACATGCACACAAGGAGAGTGTCATGTGAAGATAAAGGCAGAAATTTGGGTGATAACGTCTACAAGCCAAGGAGTGCCCTGCACCCCCCGTCCCAGGGATGGACACTGGGGCTAAAACTAGGCTAACGGAGTCCTCCTGGCTCATTCTGGCTGAAGCTGCTCAGGAAAACACTTTCACTGCCTTTGGAGTCAGTGTACAGTAGTGATGGTTTGCTTTGAAGCTACATGTGGGCAGCCCTCCTGGCTAGGTGAGGAAGCCAGCTATAGCAGAAGTGACCCAGGCCAACACCTGGACCAGAGAGGTGGAGAGAATGTGCCCTTGTGACCAGATGGCATCATCTGAGCCACTAGATCTGGCCAGACCTTCTAAGTCATTCCACATGCACTAGACACACACACACACACACACACACACACACAAACCCACAAACCCACAGACACACACTTCTTCCCCTGGACATTTCAATTCCCAGCAATTCCACTCACAGTCACTTATGTTCCTTAAGCTAATTTCTGTCACTGACAACTCAGGGCGTTGGAATAACACATGCCTGTCCGGCAGTGAGGTCATCATCACCACAGTTCACAAAGGAAGTAGGCCATCTTTTTCACATTTCATTTCAGAGATGACCAGATAATTCTGACGCCCCCAGGGAGACCCTTCAGAAGGAAGCATCATGGCAGAGACCCTTAAGAGGGAGTAGAGCTTAATGCTTAACCTCCTTGTGCCCAGTTTCCTCATCTATGAAATGGAGACACAAACCCTTAGGGTTGTGTAAGGATTAACTGAGAGCACTCACGACAGTGCCCTGCATGCAGAAATGGACTGTGCATATCTGCTTTGCAGGCTGCCTCTAGAATCCACCCGATCACAGTCATTCACTTTGCTTCCTTGGGGAGGTTTACAGAGGAATTTCCTAATGCATAAATCAACACAGCCAAGCCATCTTTTAAAAACTTAAGTTGTGTTACATCATTACTCTGCTCACAGCTTTCCAATCACTCCCCCTGTCACTCAGGTAAAAGCCAAATCCTCATCAGCACCTCCCAGGATCGGTCCCCTATGCTTCTCCAACCCCATGCTCCTCCCAGCCATGCTTTCTTCCTAAGACTCTGGAGCAAACCAGCCCTGCTCCAACCTTGGGGCTTCTGCACACTTCCTCGTTCTGGAGCCCTCAGGGACGTTCACCCTGCTGGCTCCATCACCAGCCTCACATCTTTATGTCCATGTCACCTTCTCAGTCAGGCCTTTCCCGATCACCTTAAAACTGCACGCCTCCACTCTCATTCGTGCTCCTGCCTAATTTTCTTCTTCTCATTTATCACTAATATTCTTTATGCATATTTATATATTTTTACTATTATTTATTATCTGTCTCCTCCCACTCCTCCCACTAGAATGTAAGGGTTCTAGGAACAGTGATTTTCAGCTGTGTTACTCGCTGCTGAATGCCAGTGCCTAGAACTGGGTCTGCTACACAGCAGTTGTTCCATAAATATTTGCTAAATGAGTGAATGAATAAAAGACATACAAGATCCTTCATGGTCTGGTCCATGGCTACCGTTCCAGCTTCGTCAGCTACTAGGCTCCCAGCTGTTAACACTTTCACTCCAAATGTAAGCAGCTCTCTTGCCTCCTCTGTTTGCTTTTCTCTGTCTTCCTCACATCTTAATCATAGAGATAGGATCACTAGGCAACACTTAACGTAACTCCTGATTTTTGCTTTTCTGAATGTACACAATGCCCTGCCTAACCTGTTGATTCCCTTCCTGGATTAGAAGGAGTAAGAATAAAGAATTACGTAGTTAAAGAATGACTGCCTCTCTACCCTTAGCTTCCCCCTTAGCCAATCTGCAGGCGGGCCACGAGGGCAAGACAGCATCCAAAGGAAGATGAGAAGTCAGCAGGTCTGCACGCAATGGAGAAACGATGAAGAATTTGACCTCCTACCCTGATGACTAACTGAGATTGTCTCCCCCTTTTTCCCTTTAAAAATTATCACGATTGAGCAGAACTTCAGAGCTGATCTCTAGACATGAGTCTACTTTCTTCCCAGATTGCTGGCTTTTCTGAACGCGATCTTTTCTTTCCATTGACACTTGCCTCTCAAATTATTAGCTTTGGAGTGGCGAGCAGCCAAATTTGACTTCGGCAGCACAACAAAACAAATGACCCTCCATTTTCTAGAAATGCCATGCTCTCTTGGGCCCAATGCCTCTGCTTCTGTCCTCCTTCCTCGGGAATGCCTTCCCAGCAGTCTCCTCAGCGTCTTGCAAGAAGCAGCCCCAGCTCCACCTCCTCTGTGAAGCCTTCCACGTGTCCCCTGGAGTCACTCCTGCCTCCGTGTTCCAGCTCAACCTGCAGAAGTACCTTCCATGCTGACTGTGTTATAGTGCCGCTGAGAAAAGTCAAGCAGATATGTACAGATGCTTGAAAGATCAAATTCTGATCGAAAAAGATATAAAACCCGAGCAGTGTCATACATGCAGATCTGGCATGTCCCCTCATCTATGCAAAGCAAGATTTTGAATTTTGGTTAACAGAACTTCAACTTGCTACCAGCAATCTGGTATTTAGTACAGATTTCCTTTAATATTGTTAAATAACAGCTAATAATATTGAGAAGTAAATATAACTTGTAAAACATAGAGCATGTGGCTCTTTCCAAATCAAAAAGAATATCTGCAAAGCCACACACTGCCAACTTTTGTTCAAACCTCTTCTAACAGTTGTAACTAAGGGAAAAAGAACAAAATTTTCCTCTGGTTTTCCAAATTCTACCAGTATTTCAAACGAAGAGTCCCAAACACTTCGGCACCTGAACTGTGTCAGGTTAACCTTCTACAACAATGTCTTTACTAAGAAACAACTTAGAATTGTGGTTTCATTTATTTTCAGGGGCCAAAATAAGAAACCTTCATATGAAAAGCATTTCTTTATTAGCCTTAAAAGTACTACTGGGGACACTATTGTGTTGTTCAATGACACAAGAATCCATATGATAAAATTCTCCTAAAATTTACTACCAGAAAATAAATACCTGTTGATGGACCATAGTGCATTCTTTCCCCAGAAAACAAGAACTATATAGCATCTCTCTCCACTCAGGCTAGTAACCACAGCCCAAGTGTCTATGATACTCAACACAAAATGAGGGCACTTAAACTACACGTTTGTGCAATGTATTAAGGCTTTGATGCTAAACCACTAGCAATCCCAATTACCAAGTGGCCCAGCACCACACCACCATGCCCCAGTTAGATCAGACCTGTTTGGATAAGTCTCAGAACCCTCCATTGCTTCCTAATTCTTGTTTTGAAAAATTCTGCCTAAACCTACCAATAAAACAGAACAAACAAATAAACAAAAAAAAAGCCCTTGAATACAACTGTTAATGCTAACTTCATCGTCTCTCTTTTCTCTATTCCAACTTCCAAATCCTGTTTGCCCCAACATATGTATGTATGTGTGTGTGTGTATATATATATATACATGTATATATATATAAAATTCAGGTACCCTTTTGTATCTTAGCTTCAAGGAAGTCTAGGACTAAATATGATGCTGACCTATGGAAACAATCCACAATTTAAATTTCTAATAATTTCCTCTTTCCTTTGTCTCTACACTTTCCTCTGCCTTCTCTGCTGTCCTGGTACCTTTGATTTTTTTTTTTTACTCTTACTTTAAGGTTTATATTGCATGTATACACATATATTTCATTGTAAATTGCCTCAGAAATGTTTTGGGGGTGAGGCGCAGTAAGAAGGGTATAAATTTAAAAAAAAAAAACTGATAATGGAGACATCTACCTTCAGGAGATTTTCACTTTCTGCTATGATGGAGTAGTTTGTATCTGATCAGCTCCCTCCCACTCAGCTCCCTCACCTCCACACCCCCAGAATAACCATTAAAGATGGATAAAATAAAACAGATAATTGAATGCACTGGGGATCAATCCAGGTATCCATGATTAAGGGGCCAAGATTACAGAACTCCCCATGTCCACTGCTTTTTCTCTTGAGACATTTGCCAATTTTAAGTTATGAAGTAAAAGTAAAAGTTGTTAAGTAAGTAGAAAAAGCTGCCAACACCTCATTGGGCTGAGAAGACAGCAACTAAAATTCAGGGCCATTAAGAAGGTCATAGTCTAAGGAGCTAAGGTTCTTGGGGAAAAGGTAATAGCAGAGAACACGCCACACTGCTTTACCCCCAAGGCAAATGAAAGCTGCTTGGGGGTGGGATTGGGGGAGGCGCGGGGAAGATTGGTACGTGGCTGAGAAGCTAAGCAGAAAATAAATACTAAGAGGCTAAAAGGTTAAGCGAAGTTTTTGACCATATCACAGTACTAGGGAAACAAAAACTGGAATTCTGAGTTCACAAAGGAAGTTAAATGATTGTAAATACCCCAGACTTTGAGTTACAGCCTTGGAAAGGATGCTGTCCTTGGAGTAAGAGCAAAACTGGAGAACGACCAGCTCTCATGAATACTGAAATCTAGTCTTAAAACATCTCAGTCCTTTACTGGATTATGGTGAGTTTCTATTACTCCACTGGCCTGCTAGTGGAAAAAAAAAATAAGGAAATCTTCCTGTGAAGAAGGTAACATCATACAGAGCCTCTACAATGTCTCAGTATTCAGTCAAAACCTACCAGACATTCCATATGACAGCACCAAATGACTGAAAACAAAAGACAAAAAAAAAAAAACAATAGAAACAGATTCACTGGGATCCAGATATTGGCGTTATCACATATGGACTTTAAAATAACTATGAGTAATTCACCAAAGAAAGAGGCAACAAGATTTCACCTAACTGAAATCTAATAAAATAATTAGATTAAAATTCTAGAACTAAAAAAAAAAATCTGAAATTAAGAGCACAAAAAATGGGTTTGATATAAGATTAGATACAGCAAAAAAAAAAGTCAATATGAGATATCTAACTGAAGCCAGGGTATAAAATAGATGAAAATACAGCAAAGAGTCTTAAGAGACACATGAGAGATAGTAAAGAGGTTAAGACTATGTGTAACAGAGTCCCAGGATGACAGAGAAAGAATGTGACAGAATTAATTTCTGAAGAGGTAATATCTAAGGTGTTAAACCAACAAAAGACATTATGCCACAGTTTCAAGAAGTACCATGTATCATAAGCAGTATAAATACAAAGAAAACCACAGATGGGTGCCTCAGTAAAACTGCTGAAAGTCAGAGAAGGGAGCAACAATATAACTGATCGCGGACAGTTCAATAGAAACAATGCTCATGAGATAATGAATGAAATCTTTAAAGTGATGAAGGAAAATAATTACTGACACATGCACTCCAATGTTCACAGCAGCACTATTTACAATAGCCAAGACATGGAAGCAACCTAAATGTCCATCGGCAGATGACTGGATAAAGAAGTTGTGCTTTATATATACAATGGAATACTACTCAGCTATAAAAAGAGTGAGATAATGCCATTTGCAGCAACATGGATGGACCTAGAGATTATCAAGGAAAAAAAAAGTAAGACAGAGAAAGATAAATATCATATATCACTTATATGTGGAACCTAAAAAAACATGATATAAGTGAACTGATTTACAAAACAGAAAGAGACTCACAGACATAGAAAATGACTTATGGTTACCAAAGGGGAAAGGTGGGGGCAGAGAGATAAATTAGTAGTTTGGGATTAGCAGATACTAACTACTATATATAAAATAGATACACAACAAGGTCCCAATGTATAGCACAGGGAACTGCATTCAGTATCTTGTAATAACTTATAATATTTATTATAATAACTCATAATAAAAAAATACACACAACTGAATCACTATGCTGTACACCAGAAACTTAACACAACATTGTAAATCAACTAAACTTCAATTAAAAAAAAAAAACCAACGTAGAATTCTACATAAAAATAAATCATTAACAAGGAACACAAAATAAACATGCTTTCAATCAACTCTCAACAAGGGAAAGAGAATTAATAAAAATAAATGCTAAAGGAATACCAGAAAGATATCCTAAAGAGAGTTCTTCAAATAGGAAGAAAATGACCTCAGACAGAATCATGAAAATACAGGAAGAGCAAAAGAAAGGGTAACTGTGTAGGTAAATCTACTGAATGGTGGCACAAAAAGTGAGGGAAAGAGTGAAACAGTTTAAATATTTTCAAAAGTCTTGCATTTGCTAAAAGAATCATCAGTAGACACTAACAAGTCAACAATGTATGTTCTAATCTCCAGAATAACCACAAAAATGAAAGAACGGATAACAAACAAATTGATGGGGGAATAATAATAAAGAAATAGTTGATTAATCAAAGAATCCATAATTTCAGCTGAAATCATAAGCATTTCTCAAGTATTTATTTTACTCTTTTTGTTGTTGTTTGT